TCCACTTCTATGATATGTGTCACACCATGCCTGATGTATATTTATATGTATGTTGGATAAGGTTTGGCTCTGTACAACATTGGTCTTCTGGATATGTGATGCATAGTAAGAAAATCCACTTTAAATTAACAAAATGAGTATGTGAGAAGGCAAGAGTGAAAGCAGAACATAACTGTGACTAGGAATTTGGTCTGAGTTACCTGAGTAGCAAGTATTATATAGTTTGCCTTCTTTGTCTTTGCTGGTAAACACAAGTTTAAACTTGAAGGGCATAGTTTTCAGAAATCCTTTCAAGCACCCACCAATCAATTCTCCTTTCTGTCTTTCTGCCTTTCTCCTGTGTCTCATTTCTGATGACAAGGGAAATATCTAACGTTATCTGATGTTGTCAGAAAAGATGTATTTTTTTCTTCTCATGTGGGGAATTGAAATTATGGCTCTGGATTGTGGGGTTTACCATTGTGGAAGGTACAAAGCTTGGTCAGAGCACAAAATTTCTTCCTACATTCCCCAAGCAACCTCTAATTAATATCTCTACCTAGGCAAGTTTTTTTGGGGAAATATACTTAAGTGATTAAAGCAGGATCTAATGACTATACCCTAGAATAATAGAGGATTTAGAATTTGAGAAATAATTTTCTAAACTGGAAATCATTCATGCAGGGAGTCCTCAATATATAATATATATCATTTATCATACTATTCAATGTGATAGGTATTAGGTTAGGTATTTTTACATATATTATGCCTATTTCTTATAATAAGGAAGCAAAGGAGCAAGCAAACAAGGTATTATTCTTATTTATTTATTTTTAGTTTTCATACTTTTTGTTTTTTATTGATATAGCATAGTTGTACATATTTTGGGGGTAATGTGATATTTTGATACATGTATAGAATATGTAATAATAAAACCATGGTTATTGGGATGTTTTTCACTTCAAACATTTATCTTTTCTTTGTGTTGGGAATATTATAATTATTCTCTTCTATTTCAAAATATTAATACGTTATTGTTCTAATATATATTTGTATAATATATATAATTTCTCTACAATTAACTATAATTTCCCTACAGTGCTATTGAATAATAGAATGTTTTCATTCTATCTAAGAGTATAACCTTATTTTAATAATAAAAAAGATCGAAATTTAGAGAGGCCTAGTAACTTTAAGTTCACATAGCAATTGAATGATGGAGACTGGATTCAGGCCTAGTTGACCTCAAAACCCAAGGAATTAACCATTCTACTATGATGTAGCAAGTCTGTGAATTTTTATATTTTGAAGACTTAATTTTAAAGAGATGAAAGTTATAAAATGGTTTCTGAACTTTTGAATGTTAGTAAACAGCCATGGAGTAAGTCAGTCATGTAGACCCACAATCTTTGGAAAAAACTCTCCTATGACCCTCAATAGCAGAAACTGCTCCTGGGGTGGTAGAATACAAAGAAAGCACACCCTAGTGGGAATTCCATGTGCTTGTTTTCTGTTGTTCTATACATATCATTTTCCTGATTAGTATATTCTAGACTCCTCAAATCAAAATAACAATTACAATTAATTGTATGGGTATTTCACTGTTAGGTATAAAAGGGAATATTTCCATTTATGGTCACTTGCACTTTTCACAGAAACTCTTAGTCCAACAGGGCAGGTAATAGAAGCATTTGCCTTTTATCCCCTTTAAATGCAATCCAAAGTCAAAGTTAGGAGCAGTGCTGAATCAGTGTATTAAGGGTGAAGAATTGATTTTATGTAGGTTCTCTTTAACTAAACTGTGTTCTCAGAAATAGAAATTACCATAGTTCATTTTACTTTAGACTTTTAAAATAGCAGTTTTTCCTTTCCCTTGAGATTTTACTTTTTTTTATTATTGTGCATATCTTTTCCAATTTCTCTTTTTCTCCCATTTTTCTATATTTTAATCATTATTCTCTTTATTTATTTTTATCTTAGTTCCACTTCTTCTGTATTTCAGATAATTCCATATACTTCAGGAAAATAAGTTGAATACTACTAGCTGCAGGTTTAAGGATTAAATGCTATCTCATCCCTAGCAAACTTACTAATCTAACCTGACAATCAAGAACCATCTATCCACTTTCTATTTGTATGTGGGTATATGATATGAGTTATAGACACATACATTATTATAATGTATAGTAAAAAACCTCTTTCTGTTATATTGAACAAGGTATTTTCCACACAATGTGTATCTCATTCTTCTCTTCAATTTTTGCTACTTCCTAAAGGACCAGATCAATGTTCTTGGCATAGCATATGCCCTTAGATGTCTGTAGCACTTTTTTCCTTCTAAAACTCACTAAATTTTTATCTTACTATTCACTTATGATGTACTGTATTCTATATTAGGTTGTATTTGTTACATGTACGATTCAGGTTTTTTCAACTTATTTTTTGTTCTTTGATTTACAGGAATTAGAGAGAGAACAAACAAGTATGAAGAACTATCAGTAAAATTACAAGAAGAGATTGAGATTTTAATTGATCTTTGAGGATAATGAAACTTAGAACAAACAAAAGGATGAAATTCACAGAAATGTGACCTTAAGGTTTTTTTTTTACAGTTGTAGTGATCAGTTACGTAACCAATACAGTAGGAAGAATGAGTAAACAGATCATGATAGTAATGAACAATCGCTTTCCCAGATATATTTCACTATTGTATTAGTTAAATAATCTTTAACTGTGTATATATTTTATGTATTATTTATTTGTTGTTAGGCTGCTATATAAGTTAATATTAATAATGTATAACAATCTCTGGTTATTTTTGGTTTCAACCAGGAAAAATCAGTTTTTTCAGTTTTGCTCTTTTTACTAGATTATCTTTTATTTGATTATTTTCTTGTTTTATTTGATTATTGTTATAATTTGTTTTTCTGGAATAAGAATCAAGAGACTTGAGTAAGTTCTGGTTCCCATCATACTCATTGTGTGAATTTGGAAACTCAGTTTACTTTTCTGAGTCTCATGTGTTTCATCTGAATGATGACCAACTAGGATAAAATAGTCTTATATAACTCCATATACATTTTTATTCCATCACACTGGTGATGTGTGCTTTCCTTACTAAGGCCTTGGATCTTTTTCAACAACTAGTGAGTTTTCATGTCCCCCTTACCAGTGCCTCATCATCTTTCTATGCATATTCATCTCATCAATCCTTTTCCATACTGGCTCACCTTACCCATAAAGATAGTAGCTGTGACTGTTTCTACTCTCTAACCCAAGCCATAGGTTTCTGGTTATAAAAAGTGTACACCCTGAGGCTATGAACTATTAACTAAGGAGGAGACAGTATAATCACTATGTGTAGATCAGAATAGAAGAGGACTCATGCCAGTCGTGGTGACCAAGGATTGGTGTCACAATATCAATATATTCCTTTATGAGTTCTGGGGTCTAGAATGAATCATGGCACCAGGAAGATGGCTGTTTGTATGCGAAGGTATGGAGTTATACGTGCAAAAATGTAGGGTGTCAATGTACCTCAGCAACTTCTAAAATAACTTTTATTAAGTGTTTTCAGGAACTGCTTTCTACAATAGGAAAATGTTTGAGGTGAGTATTCATCTGGATACTGAGAAATATAACACTGCTTTCTGCTCACTCTCTACTTTTCACATATAAATACAATAGCTATTAAAGGACTAACTCTCTTGTGTCGCAGTTTATACTTTATGGTTTAAGGTCAGTAAGAAAGCTCATACTCTCCTAAAAGGTGACATTAAATGTTTGATATTCACCTACTTTTATAATCATGAATTATAAGCATAAAATTATAAATTTTCTCAAAGATAAAACATTTGAATAGATTTTAGTCAACTTAAATATGATAATACCAAATATCTGAGTAGTTCACCATAAAGAAGGTGGAGGAGAGTGCTTTCAAGGGCTCTCATGAGGGATACCCATGGTTTTATTATTATCATTTTGAAGCAAGCTCTCACTGTGTTACCCAGGCTGGAGTGCAGTGGCATGATCACGGCTCACTGAAGCCTTGACCTCCTGGGCTCAGGTGATCCTTCCTCCTCAGTTTCCCAAATAGTTGAGTCTATAGGCATGTGTAAAACTTAATATCTCAACTATTTCAAGTGCTGGTCCTCAATACCTTTATGTGTATGAACAAAGATAAACTGTTTGCAGAGATACCTTACATCTTTTGTGGCCATTTAGGCATATGCCTCACTGAAAACTCTCATGAAATCTCCCACCCCCACAATACCCATTTATTTAGCCTAGAGAAAGCCTTGTATGGCAGGTGACATAGGATCCTTATGTAATCCTTACCGGGTGTGAAGCCATTAAGGCTTTGCGATTGTGAAACACTGTGTAGAAATGGAAGGCATTTAGGCAGCAGTGAACAAGAGAATGTTATGGGTGACAGTGGTTCTATTTTTTAAAAATGATAGTCCACGTACTTCAGTTTTACTTCAGTTGTGGGCTCTCCAATTTCAAACACACCAGTCTCTTTATTTAGTCTCAATTTACAGTCTATCTTATTTCAGCCTGCCTCCAGCACTCTTACTTCAAGTGATAATCTATCTGTTAATCATGATATTTTCCTCTTATCTCTACTTTCTGTCAGAGAGCTGTGAGCGCAAACTGGGGAAGGAAGGAAATTAGGAGAATACTGCATGCATAAATGCAGTATGGACTATGTTGGCAATGAGGAATAGTCAATAACACAGGTTATTTAAACACCAGACGAATGTCATAGAGGGTCAGAAATAGTTTGTTCTTGTCTAATCAGTTAATTTGAGAACAGAACATTACATTGAGAGTATTGGCGACAGGTTTAGATCATGTAATGACATGTTGATTTTTAATTTTTTTATATTTGAGGAAATGGATAATTATATACTATTCATTTATAGTGAGAACATTGCGATATTAATTATTGTAGTACATATGATTATCCCCATAACCACAATTTTCTCATTTTTTAGTTCTCATAATTTTACTACAGCCCTGTTGGTTGGATCAATGGATGGAGGGAACCACTCGGTGGTTTCTGAGTTTGTGTTTCTTGGTCTCACCCATTCATGGGAGATCCAGCTTCTCCTCCTGCTGTTTTCCTCTGTGCTCTATGTGGCAAGCATGATTGGCAATATCCTCATTGTGTTTTCTGTGGCCACTGACCCTCACTTACACTCCCCCATGTACTTCCTACTGGCCAGTCTCTCCTTTATTGACTTGGGAGCCTGCTCTGTCACTTCACCCAAGATGCTTTATGACCTTTTCAGAAAGCACAAAGTCATCTCCTTTGGAGGCTGCATTGCTCAGATCTTCTTCATCCATGTCATTGGTGGTGTGGAGATGGTGCTGCTCATAGCCATGGCCTTTGATAGATATGTGGCCATATGTAAGCCTCTCCACTACTTGACCATCATGAGCCCACGAATGTGCATTTTGTTTCTGACTGCTGCCTGGGCCCTAGGTATCAGTCACTCACTGTTCCAACTGGTATTTCTTGCTAATTTACCCTTCTGTGGCCCTAATGTATTGGACAGCTTTTACTGTGACCTTCCTCGACTTCTCAGACTAGCCTGTGCAGATACCTATAGACTGCAATTCATGGTCACTATCAACAGTGGGTTTATCTGTGTTGGGTCTTTCTTCATACTTCTCATTTCCTACATTTTCATTCTGTTCACTGTTTGGAAACATTCCTCAGGAGGTTCATCCAAGGCCCTTTCCACTCTTTCAGCTCACATTACTGTGGTCCTCTTGTTCTTTGGTCCAACCATGTTTGTATATACATGGCCACACCCAAATTTACAAATGGACAAGTTTCTTGCTCTTTTTGATGCAGTTCTCACTCCTTTTCTGAATCCAGTCATCTATACATTCAGGAATAAAGAGATGAAGGCAGCAATGAAGAGAGTATGCAAACAGCTAGTGACTTACAGGAAGATCTCATAAATGATATGATAAGGCCTTCTCGCTAACAAAGATGTAACCTTATGTTTCTTTCTTTGATATTTTAGACTTAGAAAATTTGAGATATTAAATATTGATTTGAATGTTATTAGATCTGTATCATAATTATTACCTGAAATTACTTCATGGTTGTCGCTGTTCATATGGAAATAAACAAATAACTCTTTTAGATTACAAAAGATTTTTTTCTGAAATATTTTATTTATTCTATTATTAAATTATAGTATATATTCATTGTATGTATTCATTTTGTTAAATGCTAAACAGAAGAGCTTAGAGCAGATATTCTTGACTTGTTCTTGTTCTTATGGGAAAAGTATTTAATATTTCATGATTAAGTATGAGGCTAGCTATAGTTCCTTCATAGGTATTCTTTAACAGGGTGAAAACATTTTTTCTTATTCAAAGTTTTTTGAAGGTTTCTTTTCTATTTAATCAAATATGGATGTTAGATTTTGTAAAATGTTTTTTTGTTTCAGAATCAGGGTAATGTTGGTCTTGTAGAATGAGTTGAGAAGCATTTCCTCCTCTTAAATTTTCTGCTCGAGTTTTTTTTTTTTAGAACTGATATAACTTTTTTCTTAAAAAGGGGGGTACTTAAGTATTTTTTCCTTGACTTACTCTTAAGTAAAGTTAAAGATGACTGAGAAACTTTGATATGCATAGGATGATCCCCCTGGTGGAGATTACTGGGTACCTGATTATTTTAACACAGGAACAGTAGTTGGGAGGACAATGCCAATGCCAATGCCACTATGATTAAGAGGTGTGTAAGAAATGCTTTGTGAAAGAGAGAACATAAACCTTTATGTAGCTCTGACTGATGGAAAAAAAGTTGGTGAAACAATAAAAATTATTGAAAGAACTATTAGTGATTGATTGGAATATAATCTTACTTAAATGTGAAGATGTTTTTAGTTGTGAGGATGATAACCAAAGCTCCAAGTATTTGTGCTTCAGACCCAGAAATGTTAGATGTCTTACAATATAGGGGAAAATTTTACAAGCCAAATAATTTATCCTGTAGTCAGTGCCAACAGTATCAGCATGCCAAACCACCTATTAAAGGCTCACATTTTTTTCTCAATCAACTGATCAGATGAAACTCTCCATGACATTCTAGGTGCAAGTAGAGAAAAAAAAAATGTGACAGGAGTATAGTTATGACCATTTAGATCATTTGCTTATGAAACATATGTCTTTAAGATCTGCTTGAGTTCAATCTTGTATAAACCACTTCAGTATAATTTTGTACACACCTGATTTGCACATCCAACTTTGTGACTTGGTGGGTCACAATACATGGCATCTTGTAGACCCTTGTTCAAGTGTTCAGTCTATACTAGGGCCCAGGAGAAAGCCTAAAGCTTTTTCTTAAAAGTAGATTTGGTATCTATAGAAGCAGGCATAGGTTTGCTTCCAAAGTCTAAAGACCTGAGATTGTGATTTACCTTCAGGAAGCTTCCAAAGGTATCACACAGCATCCCTCTATGTCACAGGTGCTTTACAGTATCTTCTGAATCATATGGATCAAGTGTCAGAGCAGCGTTCATGGTAGTCCAGGGCTGTTGTAGAGCCTTCTCTGTTTCTGGAACTCATTCAAAATGGAGACTCTTTTGGGTTACTTAACAACTTGGTTGGAATATCATGGTGAAATAAAGTGGTGGCTGTTTCTAAAATATTAAGTGGCACAGAGAATTGTGCCTCACTATTAGTGGTATGTGTGGTGGTTGGTACAAGATGTGGCAACCTGTTCTTCTCGTACTTTGTGTGAGATCTCTTGACTTTCCGCAGACAGCTGTACCTTTAGAAATTTCACTGAACGTGACAGGTTCTTGAATATTTTTGAGACTTATTTTCTACTCTTGACATACATATACATTTACCAAAGTATGTCGAGTAGTTTCTACTTCCTGCCAAGCAGCTTCAATTGACATATTAACAATATAATAAACCATAGAGATGTTCTTTGAAATGGAGAAGTAGTCTAATCCCTGTAGATTATATTTTGACATAGGATTTGAAATTTAGGCTAGTAGCTTAGGCTAATATAAGGTTTATTTTTGTTTCAGACTGCTGAAAGCAAATTATTTATAATGGTCTTTACAAGTATAGGAAAAATAAAAACATTTGCCAGATTAATAACTGCATACCAGATATCAGGGCAAATAAATGCATCTGGAGCATAAGCTACAATTAAGTCACCACTTGATTGTCTTTCTTCAAGATCCATTTATCTTCTTCACAGGCCAGTAGCTGATTTGAATAAGGATTGTTAGGAATTACCAACTCTGCATCTTTCAAGTCAATGATGGCATCATTAATTTCTGCAGTTGGTTCAGGAATTTGGTATTGTTTCTAGTTTATTCTTTTGGATTGTAGAAGCTGTTCTAATGTCTTAGAACAGGCCACTTGTATTACTATAGTTCATATTCTATGTTTCAGAGAACCAAAATTTTGGTTCAGGAATTTTACCATTTTCTGAGTATGTCTATTTCAACCATAAAATTTAGAACTCCTGAAATAATTACAGAGTGGGTTTAGAACCCACTGGTTCCACTCTAAGACAGATCTAAGTAAAAATTCCATTCACCCCTTGATTTTCATCAGGCTCTTCTCTGACTGGTGGATCACAGCGGTATTATGTGTCTTCAGGAATTAGTGTAAGTTCAGAGCTCAGGGTCCAGTCATACTCTAAAATTCTGGTTATTTCTTCTTTCTCAGTATATAGTCACTCTGGTAAATGGTCATAGCTTTGAGAAATATTTTATAATATATATATTTTTGGTCTGTAATAAGGTCTTTTTCAAGGAGACTCAGTCTTCTTTTTAAAAAAGTTTAAATTGACAAATAACAATTGTATATATATATATGGAACATAGTGTGACATTTAAACTGTGGAATGATTAATTAATTAATGAGCTAATTAACCTCACGTGCTTATCACTTTTTGGTGAAAACATTTAAAATCTACTCTTTAAGTCAGTTTGAAATATATAATACATTGCTATTTATTACAGTCCCCATTCTGTGCAATAGATTACTAAGGCTATTCCTCTTGTCTAATTGAAACTTTGTATCCTTTGATCATCATCTGCCTTTTTCACATCTAAACCTCCAAGCCTCTAATAACCAATATTCTACTCTCTACTTCTATGAGTTTAATTTTTTAGATTCTGCTTATAAGTAAGATCATGCAGTATTTACCTTTCTGTGCCTTGCTTATTTCATTTAGCATAATATCCTCTAGGTTCATTCTTGTCACAAATATCAGGATTTTCTTCTTTTTAATGATGAATACCATTCCACTGTGTATATATGCCACATTTTCTTTATGAATTTGTCTATTTGTGAACACAAATGCTCTCTGGTAACCCCCTACTGCTATTCATGGAGGAAACCTTGGTCTCTAGGGTAGGAAGGAGCTTACTCCTTAATTGCTAAGATTGAGGTTCTTTAACATGGAGTTTCTTCTGCTCCTTCTTCTTCTTCAGGAGGGGCACTAAGGAGGAGTCCGAATTGCTGATCGAGAGTCAGGTCTTTCTAAAGGCCCACCAATATGGCATCGGGTTGCCAATCTATTTTTCTCTTTGTTTATCCTGATTGAAAGCAGATCATACCACGTTTGTTTCCTAGCAATCATAACTGGTTCTTTTGACTTCCCTTTTTCAGTCTAGCAATGTTTGTTCCTTTCATTTTCCCTTTTCCTTTAGTGACTAGTCAGATCTCATCTCTTCCTTTTTCTGTTTCTCCAAGATCAGCTATGGTTTTTCCTGCATTACTTACACCTTGTCCCATAAGAGGGTGAAAGGTGGATATGAAAGGGCTGTGTCATTCCCAAGGAGCACTTTCTAACTACTTGTTTTCCTACCTGCAGTGAACACAGCCTTATCTCATCCTTTAGATTGTTGGGCATATATTGCCTGATGCATGCCAAACTCTTTCAAAGGACTTTGTGCTTCTTCTAAAGTCTGCCATGTTATGCTGTGTCCAGGGAAGTCTCCTTCATTTGTCAAGTTTCTCCAATGGTCATTATAATCCAGTCCATAAGGCTATGATTATCCTTGACAGTTCTAGCATTATGCAAACAGTGTGAATGCAGGATAAGTGGTTATATTACTCATTTTTTCAGCTTCACTCCCTGCTAATGAAATGTCATTTTCACCAGGATCTCATAGCTGCACCATCCAGGTAGCCATGCTTTTTCTTGGCAGCTGTTTAAAAGTTTTTGCTATATCCAATAATTATGCTGAGGAACATTCTCTGCTATTTAAGCTTTCCTGAAAAGGCTGCTTGTGATTATCAGGACACATGTGTTGGACTTTTTCTTTCCACTACATAAGCAGTCTTGTCTTCAAAAGAGGAGGAGGATAATTGTTCATCTCTGAGAGAATTTTTGTGTCTTCATCTGACTCACTAGTTGCTTCCCAATGATTCTTGGTATTTGCATCCCAGTTTGGTTTGGTGAGGACAGCCCACACTTTTGAACCATACAGCTTCCTCTCCAGTCAAACAAAGTGACAAGCAAAATTTCCAACTATACTTCTTGAGTTTCAAGATTACCTATTAAGCCAGATGTCAACATAGACATGGACATCTCATGCCCTTCCCCTCCACTCTTTGTGGATAGGGACCATTTTATTTAATTAATTAAAAAATATATAGAGAGGGTACAAGTGCAGATTTCTTAGATGCATATATTGCATCATGATGCAGTCTGGGCTTTTAGTGTAGCTATCACCTGAATAGTGAGTATGGTACCCAACAGATACTTTTTCAAACTTCATCCTTGTCCATACTCCCACTTTTTGGAGTTTCTGATGTCTGTTATTCCACTATGTATATCAATGTGTGTCCATTGTTTAGCTCCCACTTATAAGTGAGAATATATGGTATTTCATTTTCTGCTTTTAAGTTATTTCACTGCAGATAATGGCCTCCATGTTGCTGCAAAGGATACTGTTCTATTCTTTATACAGCTGTGCAGTATTCCATAG